CAGTCAGGTTATCAGCACACAGCCCTTCTCCCTCTCTGGGTCTAAAGTCCCTAGCTGCTCCATCTCTCCACATCATTTATGTCAAAATAAAATACTTAATTAACAATAAAAATAACACTTCCCCTCAAAGTTGCACATACTTTTCTTACTTACATCTTACAGTCTCAATTCCATTAGTCACAAACAAGGCCATGCCCCATGCCAAACTCTAAGGGAAGCTGAGAAATACAGACTTTATTCAGGGTGAGTATCTGCTCAGTTAAAATTACTGAAAAAAGGTAGACTGGATATTGGGAGACACATGACAGTTCATACCAAAGTCCCCTGTAGTCTGTTGTGTGCAGACCAGCTAGTGATCTTTTCAAAACATAAGCCAGACCATGTTACAGCCTTTCATAAACTTCTCCAGTGGATTCCCATTACATTAGAATGCATTCATATGCCTTACTTTGGTCCTGTGTGATCTGTCCATACTATCTCGCTGATCACCCCCCCAGTTCCTTCAGTGGGGAGTGTGGTGACTTAGCAGGATAAACACTGGACTGTGAACCACAAAGTCAGCAGTGAGAGCCTACCAGTAACTCCACAAGAGAAAGACGAGGCTTTCTACTGCAAAGATTTAAAGCCTAGGAAACCTATACAGGGTTGCTATGCGTCGGACTGTGAGGATAGCATAGGACTGGGCAGTGTTTCATTCTGTTGTGCACTGAGTCGGAGCCTGCTCAATGGCACTTAACAGCAACAACATGAGTCAGAATGGACACTTAACAGCAGTAATCCCTTCAGTAAAACCGAACCACTTAAGATCAAGTCAATTCCAACTCATGGTAATCTCACATATGTCAGAAAAGTACTGTGCTCCACAGGGTGTTCATTGGCTCATTTTTTGGAATATAAAATTTTTTTATAATATAAAACATTATATTATCCTTCCAAGTTGTGTTTGGGTGGGCTTGAAACTCAACATTTCATTTAAGTGCTAAAAGGTTAACAGTTTTAACCTACCCAAGGAGACGCTAGCTATTCCTCTACCTTGAACCTCTGCAAGGCCATGGAGGCCTTCCTTCTCTGACTTATAAACTAGCTCTGCACTTTCTCCTTCCTCCTGTTTCATTTCCATTCTTACCTGGTATTTTCATGTTTGTTTATTGTCTTTCTCTAACTACTGGAAAGAGAGGCCTTATCTGTTTGATTCACTGACAACTTATCACCAATGTCTGGCCAACAACAAGACCATTCAAGAAAAGTTTGATAATAAATTTAGTGAGCAAGCAAGGTCCTGATTATATTTTCTTTGTGATACCACACATACAAGAGGGCTTAAAAAATGCCACAGAAAAAATTCATCATCTTTTATTTCCATTTTCCACAAATTTTTGAAGCCCCTTCATATAGTACAGAGCCCTGCACTAACAAACTGACAAAACACACATCTCAGTGAGCAACAGTTAAACACATGACCCAACTTTTTATTTGACTATGAATCAGAGGGTGGGAACCAATTCTTCTTTGCCTAGTTTCTGTTCTCATTTTCTTCTAGCTCTTTCAGTTTACCTTTGTTAGCAATTAAAACCACCTTCTTTCAAGCCTTCCAGTTTACAGCATAGAGCATACATGAGGTCTGCTATCTATCAAGAAATGCTACAATATAACAACTGGTTTCTCTGCTCATTATCATTGTCTATTATGAAAACAGAATGGAGTTCATTAGTCTACAAACTACTTGAAGTGTTGTTGTTGTTGTTAAGTGCCGTAATAATCTATTTTTATAAACTATGTTACAAAGAAATTAAATCAAACTCAACATTCCCAATTAGAGTGAAGAAATCTGATAGATCTTGGTGAACTCTGGGATCACATTACCACCAGGTTTGTAAGAAAAGAGTAACCCAGAAGCAGAAGTACGTTCTCTCTTGCACAAAGTGACAACCTCCTTGCTAACCAGAGTGCTCCTGGGATGGCAGCATTTGGTACTCTACTTCAATTACACAGGGGGCCTCCTTCAGCGGTCACAACTACCTCCACCACATTTTAGTATGTCCAGGCCACAGGTTTAGAAGCATATGCTATCTCCTCCTCATCCACTAGCACTGTCATTTGCTATACACCACTCTAGGAAACCCTATACAGGGTCGCTATGAGTCAGAACTGACTCAACAGCACTTAACAACAACAACTCCAGGCATATTTAGGCCAACATGTCTTAATGTCACTTTGATTAGGAAGTACTGAACTTACAGAGCAGCATACTGTTATAATTTGAGAAGTGATATAAAAAAGTGTCAAGTTTGGGGGGCCACCCTGTTGCTAAAGATGATTTAAAGGGCTATCCTCCCTTCTCCCCTCCCCACACCTCACCACAATAAGGCCGCCTTGCTCTTATCTATTGTTTTTATTTTAAAGAAGGGATTCTGCAATTCAGGAAAATTTGGAAGCCACTGGATTAGGCCACCATTTAGGATTTCACCCCTTCCAATTCTAAGACTGCAGTTCTGGTGTGGTGCTGTGTGTTAATGTGCTGGACTTCAAAGTCAGCTTGAACCACAAGGTTGGTGGTTCAAGCTTACCAATTGTTCCTCGGAAACCCTATACAGGGTCACTATGGCTTGGAACGGACTCAATGGCACACAACAACAATTCAAAGACTGATTTTCAAAGTACCTCAGAGTCATGTTTTAAATCAATAATGATCAATGCTATTGTTGTTAATTAACTATTGGTGGTGGTTATGTGCTGTAGAGTTGGTTCCTACTCATAGCGACCCTATACAGGGTTTCCGAGGTTGTAAATCTTTACGGGAGCAGAAAGCCTCATCCTTCTACCGTGGAAGTGCTGGTAGTTTCTAACTGCTGACCTTGAGGTTCACAGCCCGAATCGTAACCACTACGCTACCAAAGCTCCTTTGTTAACTATTAGCACCCCTGTATAGGGTTTCTGAGATGGAAAATCTTTGCAGGTGCAGATAATGACCAATGGTTGGTTGGTTGTGTGCTGTGGAGTTGGCTCCAACTCATGTTGTTGTTGTTAGGTGCCACTGAGTCGGCACCGACTCATAGCTACCTTATACACAGCAGAACGAAACAATGTCCAATCCTGGGCCAACCTCACTACTACAACTCATAACGGCCCTATACAGGGTTTCCGAGGCTATAAATCTTTATGGGAGCAGAAAGCCTCATCTTTCTCCTGTGGAACAGCTGGTAGTTTCGAACTGCTGACCTTGTGGTTAGTAGTCTGACTTGTATCTACCAGAACTCCCTTAATGACCAATGTTGTTGTTGTTAAGTGCCATCGAGTCAATTCCAACCCATAGTAACCCTGTACAGGGTTTCCAAGGAGCAGCTGGTGAGCTTGAACCACCGACCTTGCAGTTCAAAACGACTTTGCAGTCTGGCGCCATTAGCCCACAGCGCCACACCAGGACTCCATGACCAATAGTCAGTAATAAATAACTCCTTTATAGAAGCATAAATAGAAACTAATAGACTATGCTGAATGGGTAACTTTAGAGCACACTTTGCATTGTTATTTTCTTTAGATATAAACTTTAGTCTATCACTCCAAAAAGGATTGAAAGTGACCTTGATTTGAACTCGTCTTGTAATGCACATGTGTACAGTAAAATGTTTTTCATAAATTCTTCATTTCATAACATACCTAAATTTGGATCCTAACTGAGGATTTGCTATAATAAAAACCATCTTTAGTAAGATTTTTCAATTGTCAGGCTTAATAGAGATGCCCCAAGAAGTTTAAAACAAGGTTGTGTTTAAAACATTTACTATTAAAGATATTGCTTCTGTATGCACCCTTCTCCTCCCTCACTAATCTTGTTATTCAAGAGAAATGACAGCTGGTAAGCTTAAGATTATACATTGTCCTGGTGGGCCCAGGCTTCTCAGTGGCTTGACAGTTATGTAATGGTATAATCATCTTCCATTTTGTGATCTAATATTCTCCATTTCTGCATAAGCCTGATTTTTGCATTAACAATCTGGTCTTTGGAACCGAACAATGTTGATAAGTGAGGGGAGGGTGTAGCTATTAGTTTAGTTTCTTGGGTGAGATTTAAGAATGAAGAAGAGGAGTTAAAGGTTGTCAAAGCTACAGATGGAGTCCTGATATGAAGATGTGGGTTAATGTGCCGGACTGCAACATAGCTTTAAACTGTGAGGTCCACAGTTCAAGCTCACCAGATGCTCCTCAGAAACCCTATACAGGATTATTATGAGTCAGTACCCACTTGACTGCACTTAACAACAACAACAAAGCTACAGGCAAGATTTTTTGCATACTGAATCAAGAAGTATTTGTGCATATCATAAAGGTAACCAGTTTACACCGTTTTAAATCTAGCTGAGTTTAATACAATTCTCCTGAAGCAATACAGAACAAATTATAAGGGGGAAAAATGGGTTTAAAATCCTAATGCAATATTTCATGTGACTGATGTTTACTTAACTTTGACAGCGGCAAACCAAATTTTGTAAGACCTACAGTGATCACAAATAGTAAAAGTGACCACTCCAGGTCTTATAAAAACATATGAAAGTTTTTTAAGGCCTACGAATCGGGCTGCTAACCTCAAGGTCGGCAGTTCAAAACTACCAGCCGTTCCACAGGAGAAAGAAGAGGCTTTCTGCTCCCATAAAGATTTACACCTTTGGAAACCCTGTAGAGGGTCACTGTGTGTTGGAACTGACTCCATGGTACTTAAAACAACGACAACTTATCCTTTTATCCTCACTGGTAAAAGTAAAACAAAAAAAACTAATGACAACTTGTTAAGTGCCAATGAGTCGGTTCCAACCCAAAGCGACCCAGTATAGGGCTTCCAAGGAGCTGACTCAATGGCACTTAACAACATTAACTTTGGGTGCAGTAATGGGGTTGTTGTTGTTAAGTGCTGTCGAGTTGGTACCGACTCATAGTAACTCTGTATAGGGTTTCCAAGGAGCAGCTGGTGAGCTAACCACCAACCTTGGGATTCACCAACTTTGTAGTCACCACAGCGCCACACCAGGACTCCTAAAGAACTAAAATTACTGTCTACTTAAAATCACAAATACTCACTATGGCTGATTTAAATAGAAACTGACCACAATAACTCAAACAAAGTTTTGGTAGGTAATATCTACAATTACACAAACATTTAATATATATTTCAAATAACAATCTGTTAAATACTGAAGT